GACATTGAAATAAACAGCGAATGACGATATATATATATATATATATATATATATATATATATATATGTATAATATGTATATATATGTGTAATATATATACGTATAATATATATATATATATATATATATATATATATATATATATATATATATATATATATATATATATATATATATATATATATATATGTATATATATATATATATAATATATATATATATATATATATATATATATATATATATATATATATATATATATATATATATATATATATATATATATATATATATATATATATATATATATATATGTCAATTTCTGATAAACCTGGCAGGTGTTTAGGAAACTCTAAAGTGGGGATGCTGAATGTAAAACAATCATTTAAGTGACAAACTTTTACTTGTATTAAATCTCACTGCCTTCTCTCTTCTCTCTCTACCCCCCACACGCACGCGCGCATATATATATATATATATATATATATATATATATATATATAATTATTTTCAGTACAGTGTATTTGTAAAGGAACAAACTGAATAAAAAATAAGAGCACTATTTACATTATTTGGTCTATTGTCCATATTTTTGTCGCCATATTTATTACTATGTTTCGGTCGTTGTACGCTCCGGCCTTGAGGAGACATGGCACAGTGTACAGTTAGATCAGTGACAGGACCCAAAGAGTGTGAGTTCAATACCCGGTTAAGGCAGCGGAGTACCTGGTGAAGGTAATTAACAGGAGATAACTGACAACTGACATTCATTAAACATGACACGTGGAACTAGAACAGTCTACTCCAGTAAAGGATTCAGTTCGACATTCCAAACAACTGAATAAGGTCGGAGCATACAACGGCCGAAACGTTGTAATAAATATGGCGAAAAGATGAGGACGATACTCCTAATAATGTAAATAGTGTACATAATACCTCATCTCAGAAATATAGAGAGATACTGAAAGAATAAGTCGACGCGTTTCATCCTTTGATAAAGTCCTTCAGAAGAAGAAACATGTCACTTAAGAATAGTTGTTCATATTGACTTATATATATATATATATATATATATATATATATATATAATCAACTCTCCCGTCGAATTCGACGTATGAGGGTCAAGCAGATCAGTTCTTAGGAAACCGACAACCCGTCTCCAGCACATGAGATTTGATTACAGTGGTGAAGGTTTTGTGCAGAACCATCCACACTTTTGTAGGGCCGAATACAGAGACCTGTTGCACTACGTGCCTCCTATGATAATAATAATAATAATAATAATAATAATTATATATATATATATATATATATATATATATATAATCATAATTAAGTAATTCTTCGAGTCTACAAGAAACCTCAACAGAATGCAGAACTGGACGGCCGTTTCGTCCTATATTTAGTTCTCATCAGCAGTGCGTATCCACTAACCGAGAAATGAAACACGTTACGATAGGAAGCGAACGCCATACAAACTGTACCAACGGGCCTCGGTGTCGAAGAGGTAAATGATTAGACTCGATATAGCGTCACTCGATCACATATTCCGTAGTGGAACTCATCCGACTTTCTCTTACCCATAGGACTGTGCCTACACGAGCTAAAGTCCAGAGCATTAGAAGCCGTTTCAAGTAAGGATATACATATAGAAATAATTATAAGGAATTGAAATAATCATAATTAAGTAATTCATCGAGTCTAGAAGAAATCTCAACATATATATATATATATATATATATATATATATATATATATATATATATATATATATATATATATATATAATAGAGACATTCAGATGGATATCATACTGTTCAGCTGTATATATTTTTGTCAGAAAAAATGCTTAAAAATAGCTTCAAACGAATGAAGCCTTTGTTTGTAAGTGAGGAACATCTTAAATTAAACCTTGCGAGCTGGCGGTACACAATCGCAAAGAACTGTACCAAATATCATAAATCACATCAATTAATGATCTTCAGTAGAAAGAATAGCTAATAGAGATAGCGTATATGTATATCAATATGTTGATGTTCCACACTAGTTCGTACAAAAGGTTAGGATTGAAACTCCCGACAATATTAGATAGAGCAAACAGTTACTGGATATGAGAATCCGATTTTCCTTCAAAATTTCTAAGGATTTTTTTTTTTAAATTTTCAAACGCAAGCAGTACTGGCTGCTCGGTTTCATAAATGCTAAATGTTTTCTCATAAGGAAACTGCTAATTTACATTATTTACATTATCCGTACTGTTATTTTCATCTTCATTAAAATATTCCCAACGTTTTGTTCGTTGTATGCTCCGGCCTTTTTCATTGGATAAAGGCTTCGTTAGTTAGGGTGACTAAACCCAAAGGGATTAAGTTCAATACCAGGCTATAGCAGTGGTGAACCAAAAAACTTGGAAAGTTGAGTTGAAATTGAGACATCCGGAAGAGGCACGGTACGTGGAACTAGAACAATCTACCCCAATGAGATGAGGATAACAGTCCGAATAATGTAAATAATGTAAATAAACACCTCATCTCAGAGATATCAACCGAACTGCTAATATTACCGACCATTTTGGATTAATGCGCTTCTTCTTCTATGTACCATGTCCATTCAAAACGTTGGCGATCATGGCGCTCCACAACTTCCGGTCGTTTGTAGCTGTTAGTAAATCTTGTTTTGTTTTCTATCTCTCATTAACACCCTCTTCTGCCAACGTTTTACACTTGTCTGTGTGTTTGTGTATATACTTCCGGTTAAAGACAGTTTGCTACTGTCGTTTATCTGTTAAAATGTCTTCGTTTTGGAAATGATGAACACTTAGAAAAATGCTTATTTCAGGTGAAAAAAAAAAAACAATGAAAAAAATAACTGCGTCAACTGAGTATAAATTAATAAGTAATATGTAATTGCGTGATATGTTTAATGATATAAATATGCTAAGACATTAATGATGGGCGCTTAACCAATTCAAAATTTTACGTTATATCTAAACTAATGATAGAGAAAATAATAATAATGTTCACATTGGGCAGAATTATCAGAAAACTGATAAAGAATTTGAGAGCACTTATTGTCACTTGATCCTCCACGAACACTTCAGACTGAACAGAGATAAATTATCATTTTTACAAGAATTAGTGAGCAGTAAAAGAAAAATTTGAAATTTTCATAGTATTTAGTACTGTTGAAGTTATCACTATTAAATCATTTTTTCTGGGTTTTTTTTCTGTATATTTAGTTATTATTCATGTGGTTACATTTAATTATATGAAATATATGTTTATTCATTATTTGGAAATACAATAAATTAAAAATCTGTATGTGTACGAATATATGTTTCCCGTCCCTATTTTGAATTATTTGTTATTTTAATCATGAAATTGTTTTTTTTTTAATCATAGGAGTATTTTTTTATTAAATAATAAAACATATTTTTTCATAAAAATGAAAAACAAAATATTGTAATAGGCTACACACTATTTAAACTGTACTTTGTATCATCTTACCTGTTTGTACTTCTCCCCAAAATTTGGTTTCGATCAGGCAATATATGGCTATTTATAAGGTATAACTAGCTGACAGACAAACTAAAGAAAATCACAGAATTTTATATATAGATACGGTCACTGAAAATTCGCAATATATCAAAGCCTGAAAGAATGTGTCTAGTTCTTAGACCGTTTCCAAATGGAGCTAATCATCATGTTGCAATTCTCAGAGGTGAAAAATAAATGACATGTACAGACATCGTATTCATATTTTCTTGTGATCAGTAACTGACAATAAATACATTAATATATATATTTTTTCAAAGAAACATTCGGGCATCAGTTTATTGATTGCCCAAGAAGAAAAATAATTCTTTATCTCAAGAAAGAAAAAAATCCAAAATCTCACAGAGTTATATCTCAAAGTATAAAACTGAAGTATGTCATTGTTGGAAGGCTTTCACATTTTCATATACATTTAACGTTAAATTTCGAATAGAATTTAATTACTTTTAGTTTCACATTTTCCTAAGATTCTTTGTAAAAAAAAAAAAAGAAAATAATAAAAACCTGAGCTGTTATTGTTTGTTTTAAAAAGCTTTTTCGCTTGTAATTTGGTGATGTTAAAAATGTACGGAGTTTTCGAATGAATTGATCTGGCAATATCATTATGCAAGATATTACAATACTCTGAAGAATATTATTCAAATAGGAGAAAGATTTGTATTCTACAACAAACCCAAATCAAGTATAGACCGACCTTTCGAGAAAGTTTGTCTTTTCTCTCTTTTATAAATTATTTAAAGTAATATCTTCAACATACGACAAAAGGTCTTCATAAATACCAAAAAACTGTTACAATATAAACATAGAAAGTTTATGTGTGGTTACCAATTTTTTCATTAATGTTCATTAAATACTTGGCCAAAGTGCCTCTCAAAATGGAGGGTTACAAAATGTTATTGTTGCATAGAGGTATGTATTGTATACGTTATGTTAGAAAACGTTGAAACCTTGGTTTCATGAAGTTAAGATTGTAGTGATTGGAGTAGGATCGTCTCATAAATCAGTTCTAGAAAAATTGAGAAGAACCTGTTCGAACTGAACTTCTTCCTTACTTATGGAATACGAAGGAAATAATAGGGATTCGATCGTATATACTACTGTACTGTACTGATGCGGCATTCACCCTGGGCGGATTGAGCCGGCTTCTTCCTGTTATGAGAAGAAGATTCTTGGGATAAATTACAGAAGTAGGGTACCCAGGCCTACTCGGATAACGTTCTTGCTTGCCGCGGTGTTCCCACAGACGCAGAGACAGGAACGACCAGAAGCCGCCGGTTACCGATGCAGACGCTCCTTGGATTTTCACCAGAGCCCTTGTTAGCCGGCGTGTGTGTCATACCTGTCCACCTTGGGTGGCCCTACCAGGAACGAAGTTCCGGACGGCATAGCTCTGACACTACCGTTTACACCCCCCACCGACTGAGAGGTAAGGGTTGGATTTGGGGGCTTACAGTACCAGGTGTTCCCAAGCGGTCCCCCATCTAAGTACTGACCTGGCTCTACGATGCTTAACTTCGGTGATCGAACGAGAACCGGTGTTTCAGCGTGGCTTGATCGTA